GCATTACGGTGGACCCTTGGTGTCCCATTGGGGTTTGGTGACAGGACCCCCATAGATGCCAAAATCCATGGATGCTCAAGTCCTATTAAATACATTGACATAGTAAAATGGCGCCCTTTATATAAAATAGCAAAATCACGGCTTGCTTTTTGGAATGTATATTTTTAAAAATATTTTCAGACCATGGATGTTTGAATCCATGGATTAAAAAAATATATATATCCATGGATACAGATGGCTGGCTTTTTTTTTTACCTATGACTGAAGGTTCCAGGTCTATGAACACTGCCCTGGGGACATGTTTTCCTGCTCCTGTTTTACAGAAAAAGGTCTCAAAGGAAGAATCCACTTGATCTGCCAGAACGGTGCTTGAGATGGTCCCGTCAGGCAGGATCCCATGCTCCAGACAATACAATTCCCAGCATGCGTTGCCCATTTGGACACCAGCTTGGCCCACATGGATGGAAAGGCACTCCCTCTGTAATAAAGACACAGTGAGTGAACGCTGTAGCGAGGCAAGGCAAAAGTACAAATTATGCAGTTGAGTTTCTCGATTGATCTCAAAGGGGCAGGATATAAATAAATATTAATATTATTATTATTATTATTATTATGGGCCCTCCACAGCTACACAATGCTTGTTCAATGGGCAAAGATGGCTGGTGACTATTAGCTAATGAACAGTGCACAATCATTCTCACAAACAGTGAGAATCACAGAATCGTCGAGTTGGAAGAGACTCCCAAGGGCCATCCAGTCCAACCCCATTCTGTCATGCAGGAACTCTCAATCAAAGCACCTTCGACAAGGCAAGGTGTTAAAACCCATACAGGAGGGAAAAGATGAAGATGTTAGTTAAGAAGCGTGCATTTTGCTGTTTCTGTTCTCAATTCAGATGGCATGGAGAGGTATATCTTGCAAGTATATCTCATTCTGGCCATATGGCTACTAACATCTTCAATTTTCCTCCCTGTATAATTTTTAACACCTTGTCTGGGGAAGAAGCCAGTGGAGCATCGAAAGCTTGCAACATGTACCGGTATATTGTGCATTTTGGTTGGCCAATAAAAGTATCACTCTTTGTTGAATTTTTGATGCTATTGGATTTGCTATATGGCCAACATGTTCTTGTATTGGATTTGCTTTATGGCCATTTTGGTCTTGTATTTCTTATTCCTCTGGTTTGTTCTCACTTGCATCACAGTGTTCAACTACAGTCCTGCCCTTCTGATATTGTTGAACTGCAGATCCCAGCATTCCTCATAATTGGCTCTGTTGCCTGGGGCTTCTGGGAGTTGCAGTCCAGCAACAGCTGGGTGGCCTCTGGCCCTTGATCAAGTTTCAGGGTGTTCATGTTTCTTTGCCAGAGCTTGGAAAGTGTTACTTTTTTTGGACTATAACTCTCAACTGGCCAGCAGGATTCTGGGATTTGCATTTTGTTATTATATGGATTTATTTGAAATTAGCTCACTTTCTTCTGACATGGGACTCGGGTGGCTGACAAGGATAAAACAAAATAGATCTAAAACCCTGATTATATGTATGTTGCAGCACAATTAAACAATTAGAACACTGTTAAATTCACTTAAAAACATAGTAAAGATAAATTCAGCCCATGCCTCCCCCCATAAAAAATATCTTTGCACACAATCCATCAAATACAAACTTAAACAAAAAAGTCATTGCTTGTTTGCAAAAAGAGAGCAGAAAAGGGACCCCATAGAAGAAACTTGTAGTCCAAAAAAGTAACTTTTCCCAACTTCTACCCTTATCTCAATATGTTACTGATGGTATTGAAAGAAAGCCATACTTCCAACCCCTAACCTTACCCAAACCAACCAAAGCTACACAATGAGAAGAAGAAAATATATTATCTACTTCTAGTCACAATAACAATTGTTATTTGTCCTTGTTATGTGCCTCCTAGGCAATGTTGGCTTAAAACAACCCTATTGTGGGCTTTCTTGGCCAGATTTCTTCAAAGGGTGTTTGCCACTGCCTTCCTCTGAAGCTGAGAGAGTGTGACCTGCCCAAGGTCACTCAATAGGTTTCCATGGCTGAATAAGAATTGGAAGCCTGGTCTCTCCAAATCCTAATCCCACACGCAAACCACTACTGACCTTAAGACTTATGACACCCTATCCTAGGCTTTTCGGGGCAATACGATTTCAGAGGAGGCTTTCCACTGCTCTCCTCTGAGGCTGAGAGAGTGTGACTGGCTTAAGGTCACCCATCCAGTGATTCTCCATGGCCAAACGGTGATCCAAACCCTGGTTTCCCAGAGGCCCAGTCCAACACTGTCCCACACTGGCTTACCCCAACTAGGTTTAAATGAGCAAAGCCAAAATACGTGGGAAGTGTTCCTCCAGATCCAGAATCTTCAATCCAGGCTAGACTTATCCCTTAAGGAACCCTTCCCCACCCCAAAACATACCATGATGACTCAGTCAGCTAAGTTCTTGGAAGAAATAATATAGATATTTCATGACCCTAATAGCCTCTTCCTGCTGGAAACTTTATAGCTGGCTAGCAAATAGGCGCAGGTGGAGAGGTTCAAGTTGCTCTCCATCTTAAAGCCACAGATCCATCTCTTTCCCTTTTTGACTGATCAAGATGATCAATATTGCAACCTGGTTGGATCCTTCTATTGCAGCCCCATGCTTCTTTTTTATTTGCTGCAGAGCTTAAGAAAAGGTACTTGTAGGACTACAGCTCCCATAACCCCCGATGTTGTCTGCTGGAAGGATGTTGACCAGCTGGATCTTGGGTAAGTTATACTCTCTCAGCCAACTTCCACTCATTAAATCTAGCCAAGGATACCTGTCATAAATTGGATCCTTCTATTTCAGCCCCATGCTTCTTGATCTACTGCAGGGCTTGGGAAAAGGTCCTTTTAGGGACTACAGCTCCCATAACCTCCATGCTATCGTCTGCTGGAAGGATATTGATCAGCTGGATCTTGGGCGAGTTATACTCTCTCAGCCTAAGGGGAAGGCAATGGCTAATTCCCACTCAATAAATCTAGCCAAGGAAATGTGCCATAAATTGAAGTTGAGTTGAAGGCACATGACAACAACAACAACTTTTGTATGGGAAGCTCTACGTTTTTCCTGCTACACAACAGTAAAAGGGGTAGGAACCCTCCCTGGCCACTAAAGACGCAAACGGTAGCCAGTGGCAACCATGGCTATAATGACAGAGGGGTGGCTGGTCTGCTATGGGCAGTGGTGTCCATTATTATTATTATTATTATTATTATTATTATTATTAACAACCAATGCATTTAACTGGTATGAAAGGAGGCTGTCAAGCAACAGTCCTCTCTACAGTTGGCCTCCCACATTTGCAGCTTTGACTTTTGCGGATCTGATTATTTGCAGCTTTGATTTATATGTCCTCTCTAGGAATCTCTAGGTCCTTCGGCGCAACTCTGCCAGAAGCTGACCATAGCGTTGCTCTGAAGGACCTAGAGATTATTAGCTATTGCTTCTCAAGGCATTTGTAGGTCTTCCAGGATGAGTCTATAGTCAGCCTCTGGCAGATGTTGACCATAGAGTTGCACTGGAGGACCTGGAGATTATTAGAGAATACACTTCTCTAACATTTGTAGGTCTTCCAGGTTGATTCTATGGCCAACGTCTGGCGGATGTTGACCATAGAGTTGCGCTGGAGGACCTAGATATTGTTAGAGAAAACACTTCTCTAAGCATTTGTAGGTCTTCCAGGATGATTCTGTGGTCAATGTCTTGCAGATCTTGATCATAGAGTTGAGCTGGAGGACATAGAAATTGCTAGAGAAAACACTTCTCTAGGCATTTGTAGGTCTTCCAGGATGAGTCTATAGTCAACCTCTGGCAGATGTTGACCATAGAGTTGTGCTGGAGGACCCAGAGATTATTAGATGGGTGGTCTCTCAGGTTACAAAAATTAATAGTTTCTAATTTGCAGTTTTCCCACATTCACAGGCAGTCAGTGCCTCTAAGCCCACCAAATGTGAAGGGCTCACTGTTTGATTTCACACTTCGCAACATCGTCTCTTTGAAGGTCTGCCCACTTTGGATGCATCTACACTGTAGAAATAATGCAGTTTGACACTGCTCTGAGTGCTGTAGCTCCATCCTATGGAATCCTGGGATTGATTGGTAGTTTTACAAGGCCTTCAGGCTTCTCTGCACCCAACTACAAACCCCAGGGTCCTGTAGGATGGAGCCATGGCAGTTAAAGTGGTGTCAAACTGCATTATTTTTACAGTGTATGGACCCTAGAGAGCTTTACCTGGGACAGGTAGTTAATTTTAATTTCCTTTCCTTATTTGGGGAGATGCTACTTGACGTGGTGAAGACTCAACATGCCATAAGTTCATGTAAAGGACCCAACTCCTGGTCCACACACAAAGGTGCTGTGCCTCATGGGCTCTGAGCTCCCTCTCTCTGCTGTCACCTTGATCTCCTTCATATGCCTTCCCATGGACCATTGAGCAACTGGTTTCTGCTAACTGGTTGAATGATTGTTGTTGTTGTTGTTGTTGTGCGCCTTCAAGTCATTTCTGACTTATGGCGATCCTAAGGCAAACCTCTCATGGGGTTTTCTTGGCAAGATTGGTTCAGAGGAGGTTTGTCCTTGCCTTCCCTTGAGGCCGAGAGAGTGTGACTTGCCAAAGGTCACCCAGGGCCTTTGCAGACTGCCAGAAATA